ACCATGAGGGGTACCTCTCCCAGAATCTGTCAGAAACATCACTGGATGATGTAGGGGAGCTATGTTCTGCCTACCAGCAGTCAAGGGGAATTCAAAGATAGGGTGAAGTAGCCGACATGCTTCTGATCCTTTCATACACTTGACTTGCATACTCAAATCACCTTGCAACTTCCAGCTGGTATTAGCAAGTCAGAGATGCCCCATGCTTATTTAGCTAAGCTGTCCTGGATTTTCTACCCAGATTCCACCCTGTGATTCTTTGAATGATGTCCCCTCACAATATGTGTTGGAATACTAACCCTTATCCATGTAGATGTGATCCCATTTGGGAGTGGTGGTTCCTTTATTATGTTAATTAGTCCAGGATTATATAGGGCAAGTTGGCAACTTTTTGAGAAGGAAGAGCTCATTCTTTCCCTCAGAACACTTTAAATTTTTTAGAGAGCCATACATATATTTTTGCAAGCAAATTAAATCATCATTATCTGAAAAATATACTTTGAATTTTTTCAACTTCACTTCTGAACGATCTGTATGTACTGCAAGAGTTGCCCATGGCTCTCCAGGTATCCAATCCCGGGTATGTCCAAAGAAAATCACTTTTAAGAGAAAAAGAACAGATCAGGCAAGGAAGGGCGAATGGGGCAAGATAGATGCCATGTCTTCAAAGAGTGCCCCCAAAGAAGCTGAGCCATGGGTTTTTCCTCAGAACGGTCCACACAGAGAGCCTTGACTCCAAGCCAGTGCCCTGATTTCAGACTGCTAGCCTCTAAGCCTGTGAGAATCACGTGGTGCTTTTTAAAAGCCATCCACTGTGAGATGAGTCTTTCTTATAGAGCAGTGTCAGAGAGCCAAGACATCTACTCTATCTCTTTATGGCCCTTCTCTACCATCTGCTGAACTGTGCATTTGAACTCAGATTACCAGCCTGCCCTGAGTTTTGCATGTAGTCTCACTGCCCCCAATCCCTGGCACCTGGTCATTTGAGTGAGTCCTTACTACTTGAAGGAAAGGGCATGCCTTGTTGATATTTCTGAATTCAATACATGCTCAGACAAATACTAGTTACTCAGGATGCTGTTGGAGGAATACAACTTTATATGTATGAGGTTTTAAAGAAATTCCCTGATCAACCTAATATGAAAACAGGGAAATGGAAACAGCAATCAGACAATATGTTTCACTCCACAGTTTGACCAGAATTTGAGAGGCTGATAAACTCAACTGCCTGGCAAGAGCAACACGACCACAAAAATAGTAAAGCCAAACAGCAAAACCAGTTGGCCAAGCTGCCTCTGACTCGTGGCAATGCCATGGGGAGAATCGCTTCACTGAGAGTTTTCAAAGAACCTCGTCTGGCCTGTATCTTGAGGAGCCTTGGGGTGGGTTCCTATCAACACCCTAATAGCTGGTCACTTAATGGACTGCACCATCAAGTAGTTCTTAGATGCGTTTGTCTTGTGGTGTTGTCAAGAATATTGGAAATACCATGGATTGCTAGAAAAACAAACAGCTCAGTTTTGGAAGAAGTGCAGCTAGACCGCTCATGTGAATTGAGGATGTTGAGATTTCCTCGTACGTTCCTTGGACAAGTTGCCAGGAGAGACCAGTCCCTGGAGAAGGGCATCATGCTTGGTAAAGTAGAGGGGCTGTGAAAAGGAAGAAGACCCTCAGGTAGACCAATTGACACAGTGGCTGCAACCACGAACTGAAGCCCAAGAACCATTATGAGCATGGCCGAGGACTGGGTGGTGCTTTGTTCAGTTGGACAGAGGGTTGCTATAGGTCTGAACCAACCTGATGGAACTTAACAAGAACAAGTGACAGAGAAAACTTGAACACTGAGGCCAAACAAAGAAAGCGTTAGTTCTTGTGCACATAGCAATCACTGTGGTTGGCAAGGGGTCTCTGCTATCAGTTATCTCAGAGAGCAAGGCGGCTCCCAGCATGTGGTCCCAGCATCTCAATACAGCTCTTAGTGTTTGTCTCTGAATAGGAGAAAAAGCAGAAAGAGTTGTCCTCCAGTCAATTCTGACTCATGGAGGCCCTCAGTTGATATCCCAAGGACCAGTGTATTGTGGGCAAGATCTATTTTTAAAAAAGCAGTCTCTTAATTTGTAATACATTTTAGGAGTGTGAGCTGATGGCTGGTGTGGGTGGAGCTGGGAGGGGCAATACTCAAGCGTATAAGCTTCCATCAAGGATAGAGGGATACATACTTGGGACATCTTCAGGGACCTGGAGCCTCTGAGTCAGAGATGCTCTGGTAGCAGAGTGGGTTATGAACAGGGGTGACCGCAACAGCCACTCTGTGGGAGAAAGGTGAGGCTTTCTACTCTCCTACAGAGTTTTAGCCTGAGAAACCCGCAGGGGCAGTTCTACCTGTCCCACAGGGCTGCTCTGGGTCGGCATGGACCGCCAGAAGGGAGTAGCATCTTTTTGTGTCAGAGCGTGGGCAGTGTTAACAGGGAATAGGAGGTGATACCTGCAGCCTGTTCCATGGGGACCAGGGGCAGCCTTCTGAGCAGGAGAGAATGGAGAGGTGGACACATCCCAGAGACGTTTGGGGCAAACACCAGGTCCTTAGTGATTGGCCATCATAACTCCGAAGATTTTTTTGCCCTACATTCTACCACACTATTTTCTGGAGATTTTCTTTTGACTCAGAATATGTAGCTTTCTAGGGAAAATAACACCAAATCAGTCAACACTTCTGCTTCGCATGTCAAAAAAGTTTCCCCATTAGAACACATGTGGTTTAATTTGGGGGTGGGGAGGCTTTGACACTTGGATGCAATTCAGAGCTTCTAGAATGGATTTTGTTTTCATTAAATACTTTTATTTGGGGCTCTTACATCACTTATCACAATTCACACAATCATGCATTGTGTCAAGCGTACTTGTACATATGCTGTAATCATTTTCAAAGCATTTTCTTTCTACTTGAGCTCCTTATCTCCCCCAATCCACCCACCCTCCCTCATGAACCCTTGAGAAGTTATATATTATTTTCACATTTTACATTGTCCACTGCTGCCCTTCACCCACTTTTCTGTTGTTTGTACCCCTGGAAGAGGGTTATATGTTGATCCTTGTGATCGATGCCCCCTTTCTCAACTCACATTCCCCTTATCCTCCTGGTACCTCTATTCTCATTGTTGGCCCTGGGTTTGAAGCATTAACTGTTCTCCTCCTTCCCCACAGCCCTTCCTTGTAAACCGTGCTTACTTTCACTCCTTTCACCCGAGCCAGAAAATCAACCCTCCCTTTGAGTTTGCCAAATCACACCAAAGATTTACATGATTGAAATGTCCTTTTAATGGAGTGGCTTGGGTTCTTCCAGACCAGGGAACAAGTGGTTATGCACTGAGCTGTTAACCACAAGGTCAGAAGTTCAAAACCACCAGCTTCTCTTTGGAAGAGACAGGGCTTTCTACTCAAAGAGTTAGTCTCAGAAACTCATGAGTGCAATGCTGCACTGTCCTATGGGGCCCCTATGAGCTGGCTTCGACATGATGCCAGCGAGTAGTTTTTCATTTTATTAAACTAAGCTCTGGCTCTCCTAGGCCAGGGCCAAGGCTAACAGCCCAGTAATCTATCTGGGCATCTCACTGCAAAGGAAAGTCTTTACTTCTTGGAAACTCCCTGGAGACCCTGTGCATTCACCTAGTTTGTGCTCTGGTTCAAGTGCACTGGAGCAAGAGCACTGGACACCTCCAAAGTCTTCCCTGCAGGAGAGTTTCCTCTGGTTTATTGATGAACACAAAATCCATCTCAGAATCAGTGTTTGATTCCTGGGGTTTGTCTCTCAGGTGTGCAGCACATCGCTGGGGTGAGTGGCCTCCCATAACCTCATCTGGCGCCATCATCCAGTGCCCCATACTCAGTTTAACTTAAAAGTATAGAAGCCCCAAACCTCACCTTCCCCAATAACCCCTGCTCCCCACTCTCCCACGCCCCCACCTCTACCACCCCAGGCTCTCCCACACCACCACCAGCTTTCTCATCTTCAGTTTCTTCAGATTTGTCATACAGGTTTGACTGGTGATTTGGTCATCGTCCCGGTGGGTATGCTGCTTCTAGACTGTAAAATTCTCAGGGCAGGGGCTGGGCCTTTTATACCCTACTGTTCCCACTGCTAACAAGATTCCCTTCCAAAAGCAGATGTGGATAATTAGTGTGAGGAATGAGTGAGCCAGTGAACATATGTTCCAATTTATTAAAAGTTTTATTTCTCTTAATGTTGAATAAGCCAGGTGTGTCTCTTTTATGTTCACTAAATAACAAGATAGAACTGATGTGGCAAACTAAGAACTCACCATCTCTGACTTTCTCTCTTTCTTGACCCCAACTATTTGCTGCTGATGTCGTTCACATTTCCAAGGAAGTGCCTATTCCAATGCCTTCCTATCTTGTTCTGGATCACTAAATATGAAGGAAAGTTTATCAGATTTTTCTGCAGGATAACAGACTTCTGACTCTTAGATCTAATAAGCAGCAGTAAACTTATAGTCAAAGCCATTCATGAATCTGGATTCTGAATCCTTTTAAAGCGTTCTACTTACAGGAATTGCCTTTGAGAACAAGAGGAAGAAAGGCAGGGAGGAGGCAGAAAGCACTCATAGTTACCTACGCAAAACAAAAACACATAGATTATATAGACCGTGTGTTTTCTCCAGTTCCATCCAGGCAGGTCACTACTCAAATAATGTTGGCTGTCTTTTATTTTTTATATAAACAAAATAATTTGTCTCAGATTTCAACATTTAAAATTTCTTCCAAAAAGGGGAAATAAAGGTGAAATTCCAAGTTGTACATGTAGAACAGGAATTAAAAGAGGATATATATATGTTTTTCCCCCTCTAACCTGACCCACCACTACTAGAATATTGCCAGTCTCTTTCAACCAAAACGTGAAGAATCCTTCATTTTTAGCTTTCACTCGGGTCCGGAGGAGCAGCTGCTCTGGCTCTGTTCTGAGCCCTGGCTGCAATTCGGGCTTACATTCCCTCTTCATCCTCGCTCAAAGCCTCTTCCCACCAGGGTGGAAAAGCATTGGGTGTGGTGTCACTGACGTTGCCCAAGAATTCCAGGACTTTCATCCTGGTGGTTTCAGCGTAGGCTCTGGGGCCCCACAGGAATTCATAGCGTGGAGCACCACTGTTGGGCACCTGCCGGCACTCCAGGTACTTCAGCTGCACAAGATCTTGGGTTAGGACTTTCTTAGGGTCTCCATAGATGCAGTGTTTCCTGTCAGCATATACCCCAATCATATTCAGCGCTTCCCAGACCTCCTCCTCGGAGGCACAGCTGTCCTTCAGGAAGATCACACTCAGCACCAGCATCAGGAAGCCACTCTGGCGCAGGCTGTTTTCTTTTGGAATCATTTCATTCATGCTGACATCCAGTTTGTCGATAAAGGCATAGCAGTGCCTGATGGGATCCACTTCCTTCAATTCAACATCAAAGGCCAGCTCCAGGTGCTCAGAGGCTCTCTTGAGGATCTCAGTGAAGTGATTTTTGTATTCTTTGACAACAGAATTCACCATGTCTGCCTTCGTGACTGGCTCTTCCATTTGATACTTCTCTATCAGGAACTTTACCAATAAGACCGCCTTCTTTGTTAAAGGATCTTTGCTTAGGCTACTACTGGCCTGAGGGGAGCAAGCAAGCTGTCCCTGCGTACCTGCATCTGAATCTGTGAAAGATGCAGCTGAGGCTCCCTGGATAGACAGCAGAGTGTCCTGTGTCCCTGCGGTGGCTAAATTCAGGGAGGGGGAGTTTGCTGCAGTAGCCTGAACATCCTCTAGGGCTTTGGTCTCATCTTGGGCCTGGCGCTTTTTCTCCCATGCTCGTGCTCGGCGCTTACTCTTCCGGCCACGAGGCATGATTTCTGATGCGGAGCACAGACAGGCACTGGTGAAAAGCTCAGTCTAGAAGAAAAGGAAGAGATGGGTGGAGACTCAGAAGGGAGCTTCAACCCTAGCTCCAAGAAAGCTACTTCAGCAGTTTGCCTTCCCTTGACAGTACTGCATCAGAAACCCACAAGTAGGGGTTGGGCAGGACTCTGAGGCCTTGTTTGTTCTTTTCGGGGTTGTCAGCTCAGAATACTCACTTGGATTCCTGGCTGGTCTTCGGATTCATCACTCTCCTGATCTCAGACTGTCGGTGTCGGACAAAAGCCTCACTTCCCACAGCCTCCCTGGACAAAGTCAGGGAGCATTGGGTCTAACAAGCATGTCTCCGGCCTCCCAGGAGCTGATCATCAGGGTGGGGCTCTATTGGGCTTCCTCTGTCCTGGGAGTGTGGGAAACAGAAAGATGTCTCCCAGGTCGTCTCCCCCAAATATATGTTAGACTTAGGACACTGCTTGCAGCTAATGGTGAATGATTGTCGTTACCTCCCTGAAGGCCGTCAGTTGCCAGACTACTGTCTGGTCACACCACAGGTAGGGCCCACTTCCTGCTGTTAAGGACAATGGGCTGCTTCTCCCTAAAGACTTGTGGCCATCAGTTTGGTCCCTGTAGGGTGGGTGTACACCCTACTGATAATGGTGTCTATAGTGTGCCAGAGAACAGGTCAAACGAGCTCAGTGACATCCAAAGTTAGGCTGCCATCCTGAATCTAGGATCTGCCCATCTTGTCACATGCATACCCCAATCCCTCCTCTTCCTATTGCGTGGATACCCCTAGATCACCCCCCTCCCATTACTGTATAACCTATAGCACAACCTTTCCTGTGATCTATGTCCTCACCTGTAGTTAGGGGGCTTGAACGTCCCCAGAGAATATAAAAGCCTAGGTTAGTCATAAATATCTCTCTCTCTCTCTCTCTCTCTCTCTCTCTCTCTCTCTCTCTCCCCACGTGGACCACCAAGTAAGGCTGAGGTGAGCATGCTACCATGAAATGTGTCTGACACCATTATCTCTTCTATCTCTCATGTTTTCTATGACTTTACTATCATCTTTACTTCCTAATGCTCTACAATTGTGCCTACCGGACCCGTGATGATGTCTTAGGGGCTGGTCTATTTTGACATGGGAGCAAGTTAAGTCCACTCAGTTCTTACTTGAGATACATACTTTGAGACCTTGTGGGACCTCAGACTTCTTCTCTAGATCTTAAGCTTTGGCTCTTAGAACAAAGTGCCACTCAGCACAGCCACCACATCAGGGGTCCTCAACCTGTGGGTCTCCAGCCCTTTGGGAGTCGAATGATCCTTTCATAGGGGTGGCCCAATTCACAACAGTAGCAAAATTACAGTTATGAAGTAGCATCGAAAATAATTTTAGGTTTGGGGCATCACCACCACGTGAGGATCCACATTAAAGGGCCGCAGCATTAGGAAGGTTGAGAACCACTGCTCCAGATCCCCCAGTTCGGGGGTTACTGGGCTCACATGAGGGGAGGCACTGCCGAGTCACCTACGTTCTGCTCCACAGAATGTACAGAGGCCTTATTGACTCCTGAAAGCCATAAATAGAATCGCCCAGCGATGTCAAGACCCCCATTTGCCCAACAGACGAAGTAAGGGGGAACCTGAGCCTAGCAGCCATGCCGGGGGAACCTCCCAATGCAGACAGTAGGGGCTCTGAGGGTCAAAGTTCTGAGGGAGAGAACCCTGGGCCCCTCTCTTCAGAATGCATGGAATCCCCCCCAGGCCTCACTCAACACCTTACCTTGATTCTTGTAGGGACCTCTTCTCTGCTGATCCGAGTCCACCTCCTTCAGGTGAGGCAGTAAACTGGTCAAGGAGTTGAGAGGAACTGGGTCGCTGTGAGTCAGAATTGACCAGGAAGCACTGAGATTGGCTTAGGTTTAGACAGTCTTTTTGTGTTCTGTTCTTCACTAATAAACGTTGTATCCAACCTTGTTCTTTTGATTAATTCTAACAGCAAGTTTGTATCCTTGCCTCCATAGAGATCCTGACTATTTTTTAAGTTTATGTATCAAAGGCATGATTTTATATGTAGCTGCTGTTTTTGAATCGTGGATTTCCCTTGACATGTTCCGAGTCCCTGCATTTAGTTTGAGTGGCCGTCCTGATCTTCCCCGCCAGCTTTCTGAGGCTTCTTCCATGAGGGGACATTAAAAAGTTTGTGGACAACAACAGCACAGATTTATTGACACGTAATTCACACATCATACAATTCAATAGATTAATCTTCTCAAAAAGAGTCGTGCAATCGGCACCACACTTAATTTTAAGGCACTTTCTTCTTTCTTGTACTCATTCTTGTTAGCTTCCCATTTCTCCATCCTCCCCCCCACACACACACACACACATACCCACCTACCGAGTCAACCCCCTCCACACACACACATATCCACCTGCACACACACCTTCAAGCTGCACGGCAGGCAGCCAGCTCAAGCACTTAATTTTAAGGCACTTTCTTCTTTCTTGTACTCATTCTTGTTAGCTTCCCATTTCTCCATCCTCCCCCCCACACACCCACACACACATACCCACCTACCGAGTCAACCCCCTCCGCCACCCCCCGGAAACTACGCATGCAATCACTGTCTCCATAGATTTATTGATCTTGGATTTCGTATACAGAAAAACATACAAAACCAAAACCAAAAAATTAAAGCCGTGACAAAACAATACAGAGAATCACCTTAATGGAAAAGAAATTCATAAACGTTTTTTTTAAATCATTTTATCGGGGGCTCATACAACTCTTATCACAATCCATACACACGTCAATTGTGTAAAGTGCATTTTTACATTCATTGCCTCATAAACGTTTTACAGGTTTCTTGTATACATCAATATTTTGTGAACTAACCCTTTGGGATTTTTTAAATTACATGATCATATTTTCTATTTTCATTATTCATACTTTTGATGTACTTTGCTGTTATTGTATATGGCTGGGTACTGGCCATACATTCCAGACTGTGCCGTCCTTCTGTCTTGGTCTGGAATTTATTTGGGAATGCTTTTAATATTTCACGTGTAGGTATGTTTGCTGCCGATCTGACAAACTGTAAATTCCCGTCCAGTATAAGTTTGATAAAGTTTATTATGTACTGTGAACTAGTGTTGCATATGAAAGGCTTGCTCTTTAGCATGTGATTGACAGCTCTCCTCCCTCTGTAAATGTTGTAGATTTTAATTCACAATATTTTGAAATGCCTTTTGTATTCTTTGGGCACATCCTATTTCTTCATTTATTTCCCTGCTGTCTCATATTCGCTAAGCATTTATTGAGGATACTTGTCTCCATCTCAGTGAGCTTGGCTGAACTGTTCCTTTATAGGGTGGTGGTGGTGGTGCGGTATCATCAGCTGACCATTGTTCAGGATAGCTAGCCTGTTCACACGAGCCAGTAATTTTCCATCATTCCATAAGGTGGTACTTGTTCATCAGAACTGACTTGTTGGGGCACATTCACCATTTGGTTGGTCATGAAATAGTCTGTATGTGATTTAAAGTTGGATGAAAGTTTCAGTTACATTATTCAAATACATTTATTCTTTAATTTCTATTTCTTCATGGACCCATTTAGTCATTTATGTTTTTAAAAAAGTTGAATCATTTCAATTGACTTTCCAAATTTACAGGCATAGAATTTATATAAAATTATGTTATCAAAGGCATCCTTGAACGTATGCAATAATACTGAGAAGAGAAAAAAAAAGAACCTATTAGATGAGCCTGGCAGATTATAGGTTAAGCTTTATCAGATTAATTTGTATCTATTGGTTCTTTGTTTATTGATACTGTAGACATCAGAAAGCCCCACCAAACTGACAGTCATCGAACAGGTACATTATCGGTATGTATTCATCCTTTAAAGGCTACATGATCTTAATTATCTAATTATATCATTCCTTTTGATATTAGTAGCTACAACATGTCTATAGATAGACTATTTTGCTAGTCACCCTTTGGTTTCCTTGAGATGATCTCTATATTTGACTTGCCTTATTGCCTAGAAAGGTAGATTGTAGATTCAAAGCCATTATATATCCATTTGTCTAACTTTCAAAGTATTCCAGGAGAAACCAAATTGTTTTGTGTACCATTGAGTCAGTTCTGACTCACAGTTACCAACTTATGTGACAATATTAAATGACTCAATCCCTTTAACAGCTTAACACTCTCCTCAAACAGATCAGCTGAAGATGCCCCCAGTAAGGGAACTCTTCAGCCAAGGTCTCTGACACAGATGTTCACACAATTCTTGAGTCAAAATTTGTTGAATTTCTTGTCGTGTTTATTCACCCAAAAGAGAATTGCTTGCAAACTAACCCAGAAGTTAGTCTTAGCTGGCTGAATAATTGATCTGTTATTAGTGATTATTGATGAGTGGTATTAGAATGATAAGTGTTCTAGCCTAGTCATTGTTCCATGACATGTTCTTTAAACCTATAGCTAGTGATCGCTTTGGAATCCATGGAAAATTTGCTTTGATTTTTCAGTGCATTCTTTCTTGGAAAGGCTAGAGTTTCTGTGCTATTTCTACATAGCTAATCATCAGTAAAGGAATCCTGGTGGTGCAGTGATTAAGTTGCTAACCACAAATTCGGCAGTTTGATCTAATTGGCTGCTCCACGGAAGAAAAATGTGGCAACCTGTTTCCGTAAAGACTACAGTCTTGGACCCTTGTTAGCATGATGGTGAGTATGCCCACCTGCCACAAATATTACAGTCCTGGAAACAAGAGCTGCACCTCGTCTGTGCTCTGTGTCCAGGCCTTCACTCTCTAGCTGTCCTGTTAATGGGATGCATTGTTATCAGGTGACATTTGGGATGGAACCATGTCTAAGACTGTATTCATCTAGGTACTTTGGAGAAACAAATCCACAGCAACTCATGTATAAGAGAGTTTTATGTAAAGAAAAGGTGCATCGTGAAAACATCCCAACCCAAAG